GGGCAATGCAGGCACACGGCCTTAGACAAGGAGGCATTCTTTTCATAACAACATTTTCACAAATCAGGTAAGCTTCGGTCTAATCTGGACATCTGCTGCTGGTTCCTATTAACAGAGCTCTCAGACGGTGGTTGAAAATCACGACTTGAGCTACATTTGAAATGCTGGGGGCATGCAAACCCTGCTAGCAGATAAAAATTCAAATAGGGAGAGGTGTTCTAAAGTGCTGACGCTGGGTGTCATTCAAATGCATCTCACATGATTGTACACCAAACTAACCCTCCCTCTTTTAGGATGTGCAGGGGCAGATGGAATATACACAGTAATCATAATAGTCACAGATAACAGTCTCTGATGGAAGCATCAGTGGCGAATACTGCAACGGGAATGCAATCCTCCAGCTCTGCTGCAACTACGAGAAACCTTCACGTCTGACCAAATACAAATGCTCGTGCATTGTTAAATATAAAAATCTACATAAATGTCACTAAATAAATCATTATGCTCTCTTCAGCGGTATGAAATTAGAGGAAGCACTCACTACACACACACACATACACACACACACACACACGCGCGAGGAAGGCGATCATATCGAGTGCATTTTCTCTATAGGCAATTGTGCTGCATAAACAATCCCAAACAGAATCTAGATGGTTTTATTCTTTAGTTGTCAGCATTTTAAAGAGTATGTAGGTCACGATGGCACACTATCAGAATACTGAAACAGAGCAGGCCTTATAAAAGAAACATCAGTCTGAAAATTCATCACATCACGTAGTTTCTCAACTTCCAGGGGTGAAACTTGGAGAGTCTGGCCTGCAGTGAGTGGCTGGAGACCGACTCCTGAATACACATTGTGCATCGCTGGAAGTCAAAGATTGCTGACCTGTATACTATTACACTGACTGCGAGGCACCAGTTTTACACTCTTCAGTAGTCTGATATTCCATATTTTCTCCCTCCACCCCCACCCCTCTGACAAGAACTCGGCAGAGAATGTGTAACTGGCCTGCTTCCCGTGTGAGCCAGCGCCTCCATCTCGTCCTCACCGTTGCTGTTTGTCACCCGTCACACCTGAGGCTTTGGGCATCACAGAGGTTGTATCATCTAAATTATTGAGGCCATCAAGCAGTTCATTGACAAGCATAGCTACAACCCAGCTTCTCACAACGCCTAGAGTCTTTTACGACCCCTGGACTGCTGAAGATCTACCAAGAATCTTCCCGGGGGGAAAAAAGATTATAAGGCAACAATTATCAAAAAAATGTAATGGTCAGAAAGAAAAAAAGCTGTTTAAAAAAAGTTTGAATGTTCCAGGATTAGCTGGAAAACAAGAGCCTCTGACATGCTTTAAGTCTGTAGCAGCAACTCACATTATATATAATTCCTGCTGGACTTTCACAAAAAGCTGAACCTACACACCACTCGGGGCCATTTTTACAAGCAGAGAGCACAATGCATTTCGATTTTATTCTCCCTGTGACACAACTAAGCACATTTCTTTTTGGCTCTCCTCACTATAGGCTCAGCCTGGAGCATGCAGGGAGAGTTTTAGTGTGGCAAAATCAAGCCCACTGCCCAATCTCGCTACTTGGTCTTGACCCAGAAAGTCCACTGGAGCATGCTGAGCCATAAATGGTAATCTGTAGGGTTACAACAGTGTGAGGTGGTGGTGCATCCAGAGTTGGACCAGCAGGACGGCATCGTGCGGCTAATCGCAGGTGGCTTTCATCTCAGCCTGCCTTGGCCAGCGAGCTTGAGTCAAAATTTAAAAAAAGGGTTTGAGTTTAGATTTCTGCTTTTCTTGATTGTAAGTAATCCAGGCACGGAGGCAGGAAGTCTCGCACTTCATCACTAACAATTACCACCTTAGTTGTTTTGTCTGTCAACGCCTACGCACAACATCACCACCGGCACATTTGCACATATGTGTGCGATGAGATGTTGAATCAGATTGTGTCGTGCACACCACAATAGATCACGCAATCATTCCACAACAGCCGTGAGACAGGTACAACGGTGCTCAGCTCTTCTTTCTAATCAGACTCCAACGTCGTTTGTATCACTGCATACTTTAGCTTGTCAAGATGGGAAATTCATCTTTGTGTTGACAAAAATCTCCATTTATATTCTTAGCCGCCTCCAGCGCTTATATACTGAATTTATCAACATATTTATGAATTGGGTAAGAAACAAATCTGGTAGATATAAGGCACTTCTGCATAAAGCATATGCCATACTTTTATGGTGTTTTCCCCCTTGCTTGTGCGGTACACAATGTAGTTAAGGACCGTGGTAATGCATCAAGTGCTGTCACTAAATATCCCTTCTCTAAGCACATTTCAAGAGCACGCAATCTTCTCCCTTCCAAATCCTAGGGTGACTTTCAGCAGTAATTTGGCAACTTGCACAAATCCTAAAACTGATTTTTATTTATTTTTTTATTCTTTCCTTAACAGGAAAAACTTTGCTGCAGGTGAGCCATCACTGTGCTAAACGCAAGTAATCCCTTGACTCGAGGTCATTAAAAGCAAGAGTGTGAGCCTGTCGTTTGACAGGAGATGCAAAACTCGGTTACTTTAAATTCCAACAGACCTAAAGAACGGGCCATGGCATGCTTTACTTCCACGTCCACTATTCATCATGATGCCACGCTGCTCTCAAGGGAGGAAAAGCAAAATGCACTGAGAAAGAAAACAGGTGAAAGGGAGTAGAGCAGACAATAGCGAGGCTGGCTGTGTGTTAATAGTAACAGATTAGAGGGCAGCAATTATGTAAAGTAAATATGACATGGAACCGATCCGTCGAGCCCAGGGAACTATTGGTAGTTTGTCAGGCTGCATTAACCTTCACGTGTTTGCTCGGATGTGTTGAAACAGGCAGCTCGGCCATGCTGTTTGGCATATCAAATGTTTTAATCCCCGGGTCATCTCCCGGGCCACCTCCAGCCTCCGCAAGTAAAAAAAACATTTAAAAAAAGGTGATATATTACAAGCGCATGCATCTACTCATCCCCCGCATCACTCAGATCTCGGAAGAGGAGGCGTCTTGATTGCCGTTTTACAACCTATAAAACTGTTTAGGGCAGGATTCAAGTTGGTATTATCCCTAAAGGAGGCAGTTCTCATCACACAGAATATTAAATTCTCCACAGGAATAATGAAAAGGAAAATTACTTAAGGATATGAAAACGGAGCAGCGGTGTTGTGTACACAGTTCGTCTGATATTCCTGAATTAATTAGATAGTTTTAAGCTCCGAGCGTGGTTTAAAAGAAAAACAAAATAATAACACGCCCAGAGAACGTCTCAAGCTCTGTTTGAAAATGTAGTTACCTGCTTCGATTGGTTGACTCAAAGAGCGATGACGTTAAAAGCTGAGGAATTAGATTAAAGCCTCAACGAGGGGTCACAGCAGAAAGACTAAACGTCTCGGTGTGAGACGTACAACCATCTGCCGCACCATGGAACACTCTACTGGTAGTCAACTAGAGTGACTTTTCTTTGTGCAGCTGTGCTAAATATGTCGGCGGTCTATACTCACTGCCATCGCTCTGAATCCAGGTGTGCTTCTGAGAAAGTGTCAACACAACGCGTGTCATTTATCAGGATGCTGTGGCACCAGAAAATGAGTGGAATGTATTGTTGTGTCTCGTGCAGAAAAGCCAACTGAAATTATGATCAGTGCCTTCAATAAAGGAAATGTGACTGTTATAGATTTGTTACGGCTCAGAGACACAGCGATGTCTCCGGTAGCTCAACGATTCCCATAACACACTTGCCACATCTTCACAAAGTTGTTTGTTCATCCGAACAGAAGTGCTGTGATTTACAGGTAGGTCGGGGACACAATGAGCCTTTCAGTGGGAATAATTCACCACGCGGGCCTGAAGCAGAGACGATCTGCATCACTTTCCAGTTCCAGTCCTCGTCAGACATGGAACATAAAACAGAAAATGGCCCCAACTGCTGCAGTTCCTCAATCTCACTGAGGACAAAAGCCATAAATCAGTTTAGCTGAGCATATACTTGTCCTCCTGGGCTATCGTGTGGACTCAGATGCATGTGTTTGCAGATTGCGTTCAGCTTGATCCGTGTCACCGTGAAATCAGATCAACATTTCTCTGAGTCTTGACAGGTCGCCATGCGCTGCTTAGAGCCATAAGATGGGGGAATGAACCCAGCAGGTGTCTGAGCAGTTTAGTTTATTTGAGTTTAGGTTAAACAATATCATCCATACCATGTTTGTTTTGTTTATTCTTACAAATATGAAAGATTTGGACTTTTTTAGCAGAAAGGTGACAGAAAAGATCATGGTTTCCACACAGGCCTCCTCTAAAACCAACAGGAGGCTCCGAGGAGAAAGTTCAACATCCACACCTGATTACTATCAAATCAGGTCATTTTACACTGCATATGAAGTTTTTTAAGCTTCCTAATGAGATTTTATCTGCTGATGAGTTCACTTTTTGGAGCGTTCAGCTGTATCAGCCCTTGGATGGAGAACAGCAAAGTGAGAGTGGGTGAAGATGTTATTATTGCCATTCTTACTGACAAATTAGTTTAATAAAGCCAGAATAGCAGAAACAGAATCTGCCTGTATGACATGCTCTTGCCTTTATGTCCCCCGTTAATCTAGAGCTGCCGAATCTTTACATCTTCTGAAGCAAAGAGCTGACTTTTTACAAACTCCACGTCCTTTATTATTAAACTTTCTGTCGCGACGTAAACCACCCAGTCTGAGTGATCGAAAATATCTCGTACTCATTAAAGCATTAAGCTTCCTCTGCTGAAAACCCCCACAGACAGGCTGTGAATTAAAGTATATATAATTCATATTTATCAAAGCAGAGCTGGGGGAAAATGGGGCAGGGAGCCCACAGCAGGTTCATCTTGTCAGACGATCCGGAGTATCTGAACCGAGATCGGCTCGCGTGCTTATTTTTGCGTAAAAGGCGCATCCGTTTTAGGAATAGGAAAAACGTAAAGGCAGACTGACCTGTGGGGAGGCTTTTGGAGTCCGTCCGAGGCTCCTAAACTTCCAGCGATGCGCTTTGGTCCCAACTCTCCGGCAGCAGCGAGCCGCGCGCACGCAGGAGCCGCTCACAATAACCCGTGTGCACGATTTGGCTAAGACTCATTCCTTCTCGGACACCTTTCTTTTCTTGTTTGTCTTTTCGTTCAAGAAAGAAAAATAAAAAACCTCGGCCGCCAGAAGCCGACGTGCACGTCCCGGATGAGCAGGCTTGCGCGTGGATAGCGTTTAAGCTGAAAGCTGCCAGTTCCGAGCAGAAACTGCTCCGAAATCTTCCCAGTCCTCCCGGCGAATCAGCGGCTCAGCCAGCAGCAATACTTCCAACAATGCTGTACACCCCCCTCAGGAGATAGCACAGATACGCGTTTCCTGTCGCCAAGCAGCTGTGCAGGATGTTTACAGGAAAAAAGAAAGCAAGGAAGGCGGCAAAGAAAGAGAATCCTCACTCGGTCGGTTGGGATGCGGATGCTCGCGCCCCGCTCTGCTGCGCTTTTGTCCGACACGCACTTGTCAGCTGGTGAGCTGCACATCCCGTCCAGGCGCAGCCTGCCTATCAGCACTGCTGTAGGCCGTAAATACAGAGGAGGCTCAACTCTGACCCCCGCTCTGTGAGCAACATGCAAACAGCGGCACCTGTAAACAACTCATTAATAGTAAAACTCAAAGGAGCTCGCTTTTAACTCACAGCATCCGTTTGATGCCGCCAATTAAACATACCCACCAGTCAATGGTAGAAACAGCCCGATCTTAAATGAAACCGCGAGGCAGCAGATGAACTCCTCTCGGGCCACCTGCCTGTTCTCCCTCAGCCTCCCCTCGCCTCCTCTCCCCTGCTTTTGTTTACAGGAGTACTTCATTAAGCTTACCTATACATGGACGCGCTGCCATTTAATTGGATAACGCACAAAACCTCCAATTTCCTTTCCTTTGAGTCTGACTGGGGGGTGGGGGTGAACTGATGTAAATAAATGTGTTATTTCTCAGCAGCTAAGACTGGCAGCTAAAGGTTACTCAAGCTGTTAATTAAACTGTTAGATAAACAGGAAAGCACCAGTGCCTCAACTGTTCAAATTGAAATGTTGCTTATGAGTAAAGCTCGATTCATATTGTTTTAGCCCAGCCACCATCTGTAGTGATCAGCAGGAGAAAGAAATCAGCACTTCGAGCTCCATCCTGCAAAAACGCCCCCCAAAATGTTTGAGAAGAGTTTGACCTACTTTCAGTCCCACTAACATTAATAAGGCATCGTTGATAACACAGTCTTGAAGCTCATCTGCACTTTGTAAGTGTGAAAATTTCGTCTTGAGGAGCTCCTGCTCCAGAGATAAGTGCACATGCCTCCCAGCCATTCACTGCCCTGGCCTTCCACACACACACACACACACACAAAAAAAAACACGTTTAGGCTTTGAATTGGCTGTCACAAAAACATTCCAGACTCAATCTGATAGGCTTCAGATGATAGCATTTAGAGGATATAGCAAAGCAGAGGTCCATTAATTACAAAAGCAACAGTCCACTAATCCCACTAGAAAGGCATTTTTGAGGCTGAGTCGTTTTTTTGCTTCTGAGGGACAGAGAAGAGAGGAAAACTAAAAATACCAACGGCAGATCACAGACCTTCAAACTATGGTCTGCAGGCACCACAGCTCAATGGGGGGCCAACTACTGCAGCTCTGACTGGGCATTTTCTTCCCCTTTAAATCCCCTTCCTGGATTTACCCCACGTCCGACCACATGCAGAGATGAAGTTATCACCGAGGACAGCTTCTCTCCAAGCAAAATCAGCCCTACCCTTCCATGCTTGATTCTTCTGTTGCACATCAAACAAACTTGCCTCCATCAAATGGCATGATCTGCATAAAGGCCAAAAACGCCTAACAATCCATCTCCAACGCTGCCATTCAGTCAAGGACACTCGCTGAAGACAGGAAAGAAAGACACAAAAAGGAGAGGAATGCTCGTAGGATTGCAGCTGAAACCATCTTTCTTTTACTTCCAGACTTCTAGTTAGATTTTTGGACTCCTTTATAGAAAGATGTTCACACATTTCATCCAGAAGAAGTTTCTTTTGAGTTTAGAACACCAGAGCATTAATGGCACGAGGCTTTGCTTTGTTGGACCAAATTCTTTTCCCAAAAAAGAGCTATTTCACTCCATCAGTTTGGTATCTGTTCTTCCTAAAGAATTCCCTTTCTCCTCCCTGTGAGACCTTCAGCACGGCTTTAGTCCCAACCCCCACCCCCCCAGTCACATGCCTTGCAAGTCCACGCAGTCAACTGTGCCCTCTATTGGAGGCTAGACACTTCTAACATCCACATCCAAAGACTCAAACACAGCATGTCTTACAAGATGAAAGCAGCATTAAATCATGTTAGAACTACAAATGGAATCAGATGAAGATATAAGAATTCAATGAAACAAACGAATGACCCACAGACATGTTAAAGGATTGATTGCTTCTAAACAGGAAGCATTTTTATCAGTACGAGCACACAGTGCGTCCTGGAGTAAAGAGCCGCGGGTATAGATTAAAGTTGGAGCCAGAACATTCTAGGAACATAGGACCCTATTATTTGCTGCACTTGCTTCCCAGGTTACTTGTGACTCTCGGGGTGCGTGCTAGAATACACAAAAACATGAACCAGAAACTTCACCGCTGAAGCCCAGGAGCATATATGAAAGAATGAAACACCACATCTCCAGCTCTGTGTGTTTTACATATATGTACGGCATCAGCAAAGAAAACAGATGGGCCACACCGTGGGGACACAGAGACCTGTGGACATTAGGAAAAAGCAACATTGACAAATTATGCGTGCACCCGGCCACTCGTCTTGTGTATGCAGGAATTTTGTCCCCAAGGGGTCAGACGGTGAGTCTGATGTGTTCAGAGCTGTGCCTTGTCTTGTCCGCTGTCTGGTAAAAAGCAAAAGCAACAATGGATGCACTCTCTATATGTGTGCCACTACATTATATTTGTGCCGTAAAGGCTATTGCCTTTTGTTAGTCCAGCATTGTGTTCAGCAAACTAAAGTGACATGTATAAAGGGATTGAAGAGAACTTCTCTTTTCATGTGGAAATGAATCCCCTCCAAAGGGACAAAACAGCTTTCACCCTCGCTTATACAGCGAGAATTTTAGGAAGACTCTTTTTTTCTCCTTCCCTTGTATATCTAAGCAAAATAAGATGGAAGGAAGGGAATATTTCATGCACAAGTACAAAATTATGTCAGGCAATATCAACATCAGAAAACATGCTAATAGTTCAATGAAAGGGAAGTGTTGCATTTTTCCTGGATTTATTCAGAGGACAGTAAAGGAGGATGGAGACAGATGCTTCACTTGCCAGGCTTTTAAATCTCAGAGGACCTTCTGAGACAAGGGGGTGCCTTGACTTTGCTCTCAGGTTGTTTTTGAGCCTGCCTATTGATTGGAGTGTGTTGCTGTCGAACCACAAAATCAAAAGAGGGATGCACAAAACCCCAGAAACCAATCAAAACACAATTTTAATGCAAAGAATATATATATATATTTTTAAAAGTAAAAAAAAAAATCTAAAGTTTTTTTTTAATTACTTGGAATTACCTTCAGCAGATGGGTGATTGTAAGTGTACAGTCTCATATCTGAAGGTCTCTTGTGTGGCAAAAAAACAAACAAACAAAAAACAGTTTTCTTTCTTCAAAAAGTCTCATTTATTTGGAACTTTGGGTTAAAAGAGAAATCTTGAACTTGTTAGGCTTAGGTCCAGAGAAGCAGAGTTGAGTTTTTTCTGTTTGTGTTTAAAAATGCTCTTGGTGTAAAAATGAAACAGGCTCTGGAAAAGTGGACAGGCTCAGTGCCACTCCACATTTTAAAGATGGATGGACAACCTCAAAGGCGAAGGGACCTCTGGCAAATCAGAGCAGGCGGTGAACCACATTCAGTTAATCTGAAAAGCTCAACCGGTAAGCAACGAGAAGAGGAATAAAAAACAGGATTTGTTTTAGGGTTCGAGGATTATGACAGACAGAGAAGGTGTGTTTATTTAAGTCGTTGCTCTAACACAGGGAGCAAGCTCTGTGTGTGTGTGTGTGTGTGTGTGTGTGTGTGTGTGTGTGTGTGTGTGTGTGTGCATAAATCACTGAATTTGACTTATTAAAATTGACAACTTTAAAATTTTTATGACCCCATAAAAAAGTTAAATAAAAATGGGTAAATACATTTAATTAGACTATAATAGTTTTCTTTTTATCTAAATAACTGTATAAAATTTATACCAAAAATTTTGACATTATTACTATTAGTAGTAGTATCATTATTATTGTTATTATTATTATTATTATGGTGTTGTTGTAGTTATTATTATTATTTTTATTGTCAAACTCAGGGCAACTACGAGATTTTGTATTTTTTTTTTTTTTGGAGCTTTGGGTTATCACACAGGTATCGTTGCAGTCTCAGTAAAAGTAAATGCAGATTATAAAACGATTCATAACTATTTGTTAGCATTAATCCCACATACTGTTATATTCATCATGCCGTGATCTTGCTCTAACAAGTGAAGATGGAGAAAGCACAGCAGAGTGCAAAGTAACAAGAAAATAACAGAAGAACCTTGAGACTTTGATGATTGAAGTTATTAGTTTAAAAAGCAGGAATTGTTCAGAAAATACAAATAAAAACACAGCAGTAAAGCTAAAAGACCTACGTGTTGCAGATTGGCTGTAAGGTATAACTTCATACAGCTAAAAGGTAGAACTGGAGCTTCTAAAATATATTATCGCAGTTTTGTTTGTTTCATTCGATTTTCCACCATAGAACACAGATAACTGGTTTATTTGAAAGACAATTTGACCAGCGTATTATGTTCTTGTTGTTCTGTCTCACACACACAACCACCAAACAAAAAAAAAATTCTACATCAGAAAACATTCAGCCGGCTGTCATGTACCTCCTTCCTGAAACATCACTAATTAGGCTACAGTACATTGTTACGGCAGTGCTTTTTGTTTGAAATAAAATGTAGTCTTATATGATTCATATGCATTTCTTTAAACCCACATTGCACTCTTCAGCATGCATTTGCAGAATGAACATTAGACAGCCGTAAATGCAGAGCACTGCAGCAGTAAACCCTCCAACACTGAGACCTCAGCTGTAATCACGCTGGGTTTTGCTTGTCACATGTGCTTCTTCACTTCCGATAAAAAGCCTGTCTCTTATGTTAGTGCATCCTCTGTGTTACATGTTCTCCAACGACACGCAAGCCCCTACTTTGTTTTAATCACCTAAATCTCAGTTAAGTCTATTTTTGCTGAGTTCTAATCAATTCCTCAACAGTGGACCGATGCATCAGATGTACTGACGGCTGGACAAGGAAATAAAAACTGCAGGTTTTATTGTTACTGTGTGTTCCAGCAAGAAAATATAATAATAGAAAAACTTAAATCATTTTTCGAGCTCTTCATTTTCAACTCTTATTTCAGTTTTTTTTTTTTTTTTTTTTTTGCTTATAAATGTATTCATTGTAACAATAAAGTTCAAAATAAGCAGAATACATCTATAAAAATGTATTAAAAAATCCAAGTACTGGTAGGTGAACCCATCTTTGTTACTTCTGGTTGCAAATCCATAAATATGCATTTTTTTTCTTTTTATAATCTGAAAGATTAATAAAAAGATGTATATTACAAAGGAAAAAAACATTCATTCAGAAAAAAATTATTAGCTGCTTAATTATTCATAAGGTAAAATAACGCTATGATCATTTATATTTATCACATTATATTTTTCATTGTTTAATTCTGAACACAA